TACTGAAGAGTAAGGAAAATTGGGTATAGTGCACACTGAAAGTAATAGATCATCCATTTTCAGATAATAGGATATAATTACCCATGGTGTGAATGTACATATGAACTAGCAGTCAAAAGCAAACATTCACAGTTGTATCAGAAAGCATTTCAAAGGGAACTATTACTATGTAATTGTCCTCAGCTGAAATTTACTAATCATGACATTTTTATTTCAAAGTACTGAGAATAATTTATCTATAATGAAAACCAACTTAGTAACATAGCTTCTCTGAACGAGAAGCAGAATCACAGTTTTCAGTAAAAGTTAAAAGGATATTTTTTACATATTCGGAAGGCTTTTCAGCTGTCTTAGCCATAAAATCACAACACCATTTTCTTCTCAATTCCGTTAAGTGTTTTGTACTTATCTACAGATATCAGCAATCTTTTAAGCTTTACAGTATCTTCAAACATCTAAATTAAAGATCAAATGCACATTCAGCATTAAGCAAGCAGGCAAAACTCATCTCATTTAGGCTGAGTCTGAAGTACTTTCAACCCTGCTGAAATACTTTTTCAACCCTGCCCAGAGCAGGGGGGTTGAAACTACATGATCTTTAAGGTCCTCTTCAATCCAGGCCATTCTGTGATGTTATGATTCAAATTCATTCACGTGTTTGTTAGGTATGAGTACATCATCTCTGATCTCATTAGAAAATCTGTAGCTAGTAAGTATCAGTTTGTTCAATCTGAGGATTCATGTGTGTTTTCTCTCACTATGGTCATTATGCCAAAAAAATCAATTATAATTACTTAAATCACTTAAAATTTGAAGTCAATTATTTGAAGTCCATATGTAGATGCTGGATCTATTACTGTTTCATCCTCTTTACTCTCACTGAATAAGTCACTAGGCATAGATGCTATTGTTTTGCCCAAAGTATCATAAAAAGGACACAAAAATATCCACTGGAGAATGGCATGACATGAAGAGATGGCAAGGAAAAAACAGGTTGAATGAAAACAATCACTTCTCAGCTTTCTGAGAGAACAAAATACTGTTCTCTGTGTTTGTTCCTCAGAACGAGCTGTGCAACTGATCAAAAAGAAAAAAGTAAATCTGTAAACCATGCACAATAATGAAGCTGCCCCTCTAAAAAGTTATGAATGTTCAATACAGAACCACTTTCAGCAGCCAACTTATTTTTTTCCCCCAACAGCCCATAATTTCAATAAAACCTTGTGGATTTTACTAGAACTAATACATCCTAAGATGATGCCAAACTCTTTAGATGCAAGTCTTTTGAAAATTTTCAGCATTCAGAATTCAAATATCCTGCCTCATTTTACATACACAGTTTTGATGAAAGATGCTTTTTATTAAGCAAAATCTGAAGCAGGAGAAGAAAGCCACAATTCATTTCTAAATGAAAACCTGAGAACAAGAAAAGACTTCACGAAGATCCATCAACTGTACTTTACCTTTTGTTTCTTGTTCTGGGCTTGATCCAGCCCATAAATTTTGGATTAGTTGTACTGACAAAGTAATGGAAAACTCAGTATGCTTGAAGTTCCTTGTTGATAATTACATCAAGACAGTTTTTCCACTGGGAAAACAGAGTAAGATTACTCCATCTATCCCTCCAGAAGCAACACATACTAATTGTTTAATATAAAAGACAAAATGTTCAGAGATTACATTTTGACTGTAATGACATACTTCCCTCAGCTTTTTTGCACATTTTGTACCTCTCTTGAAACCTCACGTGTAAAGTGTGCACTGTACAATGGATCAAAGTCTTCCATGTGTTCATTATGTATTCAACCTTAGGTTCATGAAATAATTTTTCTGAGGTTTTGATTGACTAATACTAAGAAACCATTCTATCAAACTGTTTAAAATCAACTCAGCAGCGCTCGTAGAATATTTGTGAACCTCTGAGATTTCCAAATACTTTACATGGGAGTCAGGTGTTATTTTTTTTTCAATCACAAGGAGTATATATTTCAATGATCATCCAAGTATAAGAAACTATGATGACTACCTGGAGAAAGTATTTTCTCCACTTTTTGTCAAAGCAACAACAAAAACACACACACAAAATCAAACAAACAAACAAAAGCCTGGAACGTGCTTAAAGACATTTTTACCAAAGAATCACATAATGTTAGGGATTGGAAGGGACCTTGAAAGATCATCTAGTCCAATCCCCCAGTATAAGCACACTATTCCTTTCCACTAATGAGAGTCTCACTATTAGGTAATAATCCACATTTTAGGCTGTTTTCTGATCATTTTAAGAGCAAGCCCGATCCAGTAAAAACAGGAATTTTTACTTCTTCCTCAGTCTCAGTATACCCTTGATGAAGTTCTTAGACTAAGTTCCAGTGGTGAAATTGGCATAAACAGTGCTAAAAACTTCATTGCTAAACTGAAGCCGAAATTTCTCATTTGCATAGCATAAGCCCCAAATGGTCTTTAGTATTCTGTTGCGTCAAAAATAAACCATCTATTGTAGCTTCATCTGGCCACACAGTTGTATTGCCTCTTGTATTAATACATCCTCTGTGATCATTACACTCACAACTTGTCATATTTTTTTTCAGATGTGTTACGTAATTGACATATTTTTGCAGTAGAAGCTTGTAACTGCAGGTCAGCACAGTTTGTGTTAGAAAGAAGTCCTAAGGGTAGAAGAATCAGTTCTCCAAAGAATGTTTTTGTATGAAAAATAATTGCTATCTTAATAGAAATATAAGTGTGGCATTATAAATTTATTTGTAGGCACCCAGACAAAGCTACTGTGTAATATATTCCGCTAAATTAGAAATACATGTTTTAAAGTTTAATTTGTGTTGGTCACATAGCAGAAAAAACAAAACAAAACAAAACAAAACAAAACAAAAAAAAAAAAAAAAAAAAAAAAAAAAAAAAACTTGTTAGACCTGGGAAAAACAGTAACCCATCACAGAAATTCTATTTTGAAAAAACAGCATTTTTTCAGAATAGAATAGAATAGTAGCACAGACTGTGCTACTGCATTGCCTCCTTTGCTTCTCTGGTTTTAATATTGATCATGCATTGACAGTAAACTACAAAATAACTGTCTCATCAGGTATATTCAAAATGATTATTTTAAGTGTGGTTTTTTTTTTTTTGTAATCTTATTATAATTCAGTAATAAACAGCCTAATATAATTCTTCATTAGAATAAACTTGCTTATTTAAACTTCTATTTTTAAAAAAGTTTAAGTTCATAATGCATCAAAAATGCATTTGTGTGAAGTTGTAATGCTGAATATTTATCATATGTATTTATTTAACTGGAAGCAATGGGTTCCTATTGAGGAAAACAGCATATTCCATTGAGAATTCCTAACGTTAGTCTGGAAGGAGTCCTAAATCAATGTGCAACAGTCTGAAAGCTAGTATAAACATGAAGTCTGCTCCGGAATGTATAAAAGAGCACCTTCAGCTAAAGACCAGATGATAAGAGACAGGAGACAAAGAGATATGAAGGCTATGAACTATCACAGCTGTCACTTTTTCACAATTTTTGGCAAAAACACAAAAATTTGTTGGTCGTTAACACCCAATAATTAAAGCTTTCGTATTCATTACACAAGGAAAAAGACACTCATTCATGCCTTGAACCATGCTGAAATGAAGAGACTTGTCACTGATTTTAGCAGACAGTCCATCAGGCCCATTGTTAATCCAAAAAAGAAAAAAAAGAGAGACACTAGACAGCTGAATTTAGAGCCTGTAGTACCAGGTTCTTCTATGTGTTTGATTATTTCCATAAATTAACCATTCCATTGTCTATACTGTTATTAATGACTCTACCTATTCTCTTTCTTCCACATGCTTACAGACAATTCTATAAATTTCTCGAATTAAAACAGACATACGTAACGAGTAAAGTAACTTTATATTCTGCTAAAAAAGTTAAATGATTAACTCACACCATCAAAGCTGCTTGTCTACAATATCATAAAACTGACAGATATTATATAAAATGGTAACTTTGGTTAAGGAGTGACACACTCAACTTACAAGCAAACAACGTTAACAGTTTCTAGAAATATGTTGCTAGAAGTGCCAGCCAAGTTCTTTGCAACCATGTCAGTTATCCTACTTCCTGGCTGACGAGGCCATACAAGGTGATGGACCAAGCACGAAGGAAGGAAAAAATGGGAAGGTGCATGCATGAAGTAACATAGAACATCTTTTCTGAAATTGAAATACTTTTTATTTTTTAGTAATGTCCATTTTTACTTATATATAGCTTTACTCACTCCATTATTATTTGACCAAGAGTGACATCTGCAATTAATTTACTTTCTGTATGACAAATATTGTCTTACTAATACATACTGCCAAACCACAAAGGAAAGCCAGTTCTTTTCCCCTTCATATTGAATACACAACTCTCAGAGGCATTATCATATTCCAAAGCACTAAAGAAGGAACCCTCACCCTTGATTAGCTTTGCTTGTTCTTGTCTGAAACCTCAACAAAACAAATTCAAATGAACATCTAGTTAATATTAATATTTGGACTGGGGTATTGTTTCAAAGGCAAAATTTTGAAGAATATGTACATACCCAAATAACATAGGAGTTACAAAGACAAGAATGCCTTACAAACAAAAGAAATCTCACCTCTTACATCACTGGTGAAAGAACACTACACTGAAAGAACAGGAAGCGAAAATGTATTTGAAGGAGTCATTCCCTTTCTTTTTATTTTAGACATAAACAAGGGCTGGACCATGGCCATGTTTTATATAACTGTCTGCAGTTACGTAAAAAATTTAGTATTCTTTCTTTAAATCTTCTACTGTATGAAGTGGTTTCATTGCAACTTTCCTGTTCCCCAAGGAAAGAGACAGATAATTAAATTTGCTCTCCATATAGACAAGTCTAATAAACAATACCACATAATATTTTACAGGTCTCTGTGTAAAGGAACCTTTTCCAACACAGTACTTCAAATTCACCTATAGAATATTTTTAGACCATGTTTTAGACCACAAATAAACCTCTACTTACTTTTTGTCAATTTGGCTGTTACATAAATACTTTTAAATCAAAATATAATATAGCTGATAATTAGTTATGCCCACTTTAAAGATAGAAAGGTATATTCAATACACTGATCCTTGCTAGAGATGATGGGTCTGCCAGAGTTTAGTGTTCTACATCATACTGTACATTAAGAAAAGTGAGGCACAAGGTCAGTGAAAGATTAGACTCCACTAGAGACTAAAGAAATATTCAAAATCAGCTCAGTTACCCTTACCTTATATTCATTCTTGTCCTGCAGGTCTGAAGTAAATAGCCTTAACTTCCTATCAGAAGCTGCTGTACAAAACCTACACTCAACAGAAAAAGAAAAGCCCTTCTGTCAGATAGCACTGTAGTGGCTGACTTTTTTTTTTTTTAAATAAACAAATAAAACAACAAACCAAACCAGATCAACCAAGAGTTTCACCCCATTTTAAACCTGCAAAATGACATGCAAAAGGAAATTTAGATTTTCAATCAAAAGTATATTCTAATTTTTCTGCTTTGACATTCAGAGTTATAATTGGAACTTGCCTATAAAATATGGCGTATCAAGTGCCAAGAATACTTTTTAATGGAAAGTAATACAAAACATTTGACAAAGCTAAATCTGAATCAACTATGAATTACCTGAAATCTCTCTTATAACTGCCGCAGAATTTACCTTGGAGGAAGTGGCTGATAGAAAAAACAGAACCCTCATCATCAGTGTTTTAAATTGCCTAGGGATTAATTTATTAACCAGTCTCCAACTTATTTTAAACAAAAGACTGTAAAGATATGCAGCAGTAAGCAACCAGCATAGTTTTGAAGAGGCTTACAAGCAATTGAGAATATCTGAATTCATGTTAAGTGCATATTTAATAATTGACCATTTTTCTAGACTTACAGCTTGACAGGTCTCACAAATAGCATCCGACTTACTCCTAAACATAGCCCATACTATGGAGAACATCAGGTGTAATTTTACAAAGCAGACCATGATACTAGTATCATTCTTACAATGATACATACACATTATACAGATACGTACAACAAAAAGACTAACTAGATTACAGGTCGATTAAAATTAAAAAATCTCGTGTCTACTGTGAATCTACTGTGGGGAGGAAAGAGTAAGGGGCTCAGGAAGCAGAACAAAATATCTAAGGATGACTAAGAATTAAACTGTTGTTCCAGTGGTGTTCACAGACTTCCAACAGCAATTTCTTCAGAATTAGATTTCAGCTGTAAGCATTAAAGTGAGTTCAATACTAAGGACTTAGAGAAAACAGATATGGGACAAGGACTCATTATAGTAATTTATTCGAAATACCTTATCTGGGGAGGTAAAACATCAAGTCTAGTTTCTGGACTCCTTGCTATGGCATCAACTCTGATTCCATGACAAAATGTTCGTAGTGTCTTATATTGCATGCCTTCCACTTCTGCATCCTCTTCCTACAGAAATACTGTAGTTAGCTAATTCAGAATAACAGGTTGATGACTTCTAACAAGTCAGATTGATATGAAGTTGAAAGTTAGATGTGTCTGCTGCGATAAAGAAAGTATTTATTTGAAATATGTAAGTAAGTAAAAATCCATGAAATGATTGCAGTTTCAAACCAAAGTCAACATAGCACAAAACCAAACCTACACTGCACAAAAAGAAGATTTGCCAGAGGGACATGCTGAGCCCATTCTTTGGGCTCAATATCGGCATAGATACAACCAGAACCACTGACAACAGCATGATAAGCACACACTGCAATGCGAAATAATGGGAACAAAAGCAAGGAGACCATGTAGGCTATCTTCTCTCCCAGTTGGTTTTACTTTATGGAAAAATGCTAGAACAACCTGGTTGTTCTGGTAGAACAGCAGCAGGTAGAAAGGTACCCTTCATCATTTAACATGACCAAAATTACTACCTTGGCAATTCTTCCCAATGGTGAGGGAACTGGATTCTGACAAAGATGAAACAATTGCTGGGATTGTGGACTTAATGAATCAACTGATCTCCAAAAAGTTCTCAAAACATCCTGCGTAGTACCTCAAAATGTAGGAAGGCTATTTTGATGAAACGTTCTCTATGGCACAGTTCTGCTTTAAGAAAAAAAAATCTCTCTGTATACACTCTGCATAATGTAGAAGCTAGGAAGGACCTAGGTGATTTTCAGAAAATTTCCAACAGTAAGACTTTGGGGAATAATATAGACCAGTTATACTGTTTTCTATATTAGATAGTAAAGTATAAAAATAGTACCATGTAATGGAGAAGTGAGCTCAAGAAAAAAAAAGTAAAAATAGATTCCAAAGATGAGAGTGTTCTACTATCAATTTTCAAGCATCCAGGGGAAAAAAAAAAAAAAAAAAAAAAAAAAAGTGCCTCAAAAAAAAAAAAAAAAGTATTACATATAAATATACACAGTATGCTATCTTACTTTTTAAAAATTTTCATGATATGGTGACTGGAAATAATGTCAAGGTAAAAAAACATATTTTACTGTTTCTAAAAGTCTCTCAGACAGATGTAAAAAAAATAACTTAGAAAGCAGATGTATATTAAGTTATTATTTGCCACTGTCCTTCCTTGAAAGAAATGCCTCTAAACTTACTTTGGAAATTTTAATTATTCCTTTCTATTCCGGGCATTTGAAATCTTTGCTGCTTTGATAGCCACCTGAAAGCCTTAAAAACTAAAATACCATACAGCAAATGTTAAGTTACATATTTCCAAAGCTACTTGCTTAAGTTCCCAGGTAGTAGTCACAAACATTTGCAAGAAATACTGAACTGGGATTACTCTTCCAGTAGAGCACTCCTGTTTTCATTGCAGCCTACTCAAAAAGAACTTTACACCAGCAGGATGCTAATACCAATATGTATTTATATATACATTTTTTTTTCTCTTTAAGACCAAATATCCCAAAGTCATAATGTAATAAAGGAGTAAAACACTTCCTGGTAAAATGGGGAAGGAAAGAAGCAGGAAAGTGACTTTGTCAGAAGACATGCTGTCAGTTTCATGAAGCAACTAATAAAAGCAATAAACAAAAACTAACCTGAAATCTACATGTCCCTACAACTACATAGTTATTGCCACCATATGCAATGAGGGAACATGCATCTACACTATCAAATGGATTGAATTTTATCATATGCACATAATCTTCACAGTCCACCGTGTAAGCAGCATTTCTAGTAGAATCTTGCTTCATTTTCAGGGGACTATGTCAAAGTATCATGGAAGTGATGTCTTCTTCAGGATGGTCAATGTTCCTATCTGGAAAGTATTAAAAAGCATGTATTATGTATTTGCATAAAGAAAAAAAAAGTATTTGTGGTGCAACAAATCAAGATTTCTTGTAACACCATATTTATGGACACAAAAGATCAACTTAAGCTCATTATATCCAGATTTAACACGTAATTCCAACAATCAAGAGATTAACTAACCTAACTGACCTAATTCACTAACAGACTTTCAAAACTTTTTCTACAGACATCAGTAACAACTGCAGATTTTGTGCTACTGATGGCAACCTATCAAGACATGGGATTAAGTAACTCTATGTAGCAGAAAAGTCACATACATAATTTTTAAAATTTCAAGCAAATGACAACAAAATATGTATTATTACCTTCAAATTCTCTTCCCTGGTGTACCTTTTTAAAGGACAATAGGTATCTAACTAAAAGCAGAATTAAAACCACCAAACTCTAAATGCAAACACTATTCTGCAGAATACTTGTTTCATGACATAAGCCAACCCAACTGCAGACAGTGCCTCTATGTCTCTGTACTTGCACAGAAAAAGTTAATTTTCAACTGGATCAAAAGTATACCTAAACATTAATGCTTTACTCTATTCAAGCACTTTTCAAGAAAATCTGACGCCTGTGCTTGCACACAGGAGGCTGAGATACACAACTGATTAGGGGATCATCCCAGATTTGACATCAGTGTACACCTTTTGAGAAATGACCATTTTCTCCACGTGCAGCATGGAAAGATAGTTTTAAACTTCAGACCCTTGTCATATTTTGTTGCGCTAATGACCTGAAGGGCTTAGCACCGAGGCCGAACATCATGCCTGGGAGCCACCACAGTTTGATGGGGATATCACCGGGATTCAAAGAGGCTCTCCACATTTGTAGTGTGTATTTATTAACCAACACAACAAACCATCACGTTGACAGAAGTACGTTAGCCACATAACTCACATCGCCACGCTCCTAAGGCCGAACACAACTCCTAGTCACCTCGAAGGCTCCCCACCACGGCAGACCCCACGCCTTGGGGCAGCACCAGGGGGACAACCCGGCCGTGTGGCCTTCTGCTCCCTCCTTTTCCCTTGGGGGCCCAGCGGCTGCCCCAAAGGAGCCCACCCCAAACCATGCGGCCCCACAACGCTTGGGTCAGATTGGGTCCTTGGGACATTGTCCGAGAAAAGGTCCTTTTCAAATATATCAAGAGCAGAAGGAAGAGGAAGGAAAATGTGGGCCCACTGCTTAATGAGGTGAGTGCAATCATGAGAAAGGATACAGAAAAGGCAGAATTACTGAATGCCTTCTTCGCTTCAGTCTTCACTGCTAAGAGCAGCCCTCCAGAATCTCTGGCATTAGGAACAAGGGAGGAAACCTGGAGAAACGAGGACTCTCCATTGGTTGAAGAGGATCAGGTCAGAGATGTCTTAGGAAAACTTGACAGCCACAAATCCATGCACCCCGATGGGATACATTCATGAGTGCCAAGGGAGCTGGCGGATGTTACTGCTGGTCCACTCTCCATCATTTTTGAAAGGTCATGGAGAACAGGAGAGCTGCCTGAAGACTGGAAGAAAGCTCATGTCATGCCAGTCTTCAACAAGGGCAAGAAGGAGGTCCCAGGCAACTACAGGCCGGTCAGCCTCACCTCCGTCCCTGGAAAGGCAATGGAACAGCTCATCCTGGAGGTCATCTCCAGCATGTGGAAGAGAAGAAGGTGATCAGGAGTAGTCAGCATGGGTTTACCAAGGGAAACCATGCTTCACCAACTTGATAGGCTTCTATGATGGAATGACTAGCTGAGTGGGTGAGGGGAGAGCAGCAGATGTTGTCTACTTTGACTTCAGCAAGGCTTTCAGCACTGTCTCCCATAACATCCTCATAGGCAAGCTCAGGAAGTATGAGATGGAAGAGTGGTTGGTTAGGTGGGATGTGAGCTGGCTGGATGGCAGAGTTCAGAGGGTTGTGCTTAGTGGAACAGAGTCTAGTTGAAGGCCTGTAGCCAGCAGTGTCTCCCAGGGACCTACACTGAGTCCAGTCCTGTTCAAGTTATTTGTCAGTGGCCTGGATGATGGAATAGAGTGCACCCTTGTCCTGGTTTCAGTTAGGACAGAGTTCATTTTCCTCCTAGTAGGTATAAAACACAATGCAATTCTTTTTGCCTTCTGCATCTATAGCACAGGAAGCATGACTTTGCCCTACTCTATTGACTGGGCATGTCACATTACTCAATTTAGGTTTCTGTGGCTCGAAGGAGATGATTTCCCAAAAGAGGCCAAGCTCATGGGTACAGCTACAGCCATCTGAAGATATATTTTCTTTACTTTTCTTCCTGAGTTTTCCTCAGAAGACCCAAGAGACACCATGGATGTCCAGGTGTCTACTAAGATTTAAGCTGAGTTTCTCAGATTCCAATGGTTATTTCAATTTTATTATTTTATTTTAATTTAATATTTTTATTTTATTTTATTTTATTTTATTTATTTTATTTTAATATTTATTTTGTTCCCAAAGAACACCTGACTTGTCTTAGAAAGGGTTTCATGTGCTGGGCTGGGCTGCAGTTACAGGGACAAAGACCATTGCTGGCAGTGAAGGTGTCATAACTCCAGACTTTGCTTTTCTTCCTGATGAAGGTCTCCAAAGAAGTCAGCCAGGATGAAGAGCAATAGGAGAATGATGCTCAAAACTGAAATGCAGCAAAATTCAGACTTCAAAACAAAAAGTTTTAGATTAGGTGTTTTTTGAAATCTTCTTCCTTAACTACATCATGCAAGCTCTGCAATTAGCTGAACAAATCTTGAAGTCTTTAAGAAAACTATGCAAGAGATGTTAAGAGCTTCTTCATTTTTATGAGGTCCATGGTGTATTTTGGTGTTGAATCTATGAAGCAAAGGTACTGAGAGGAGAGTGATGTAACCACTTGAGCAAGTCAAGTCAGGAGGCACAAAATTTCACAGAATCACAGAATCACAGAATTTCTAGGTTGGAAGAGACCTCAAGATCATCGAGTACAACCTCTAACCTAACACTAACAGTCCCCACTAAACCATATCCCTAAGCTCTACATCTAAACGTCTTTTAAAGGCAGTTTAAGAGTCTCAGGTACTTTTGGCTTAGTAAAGGCAAGAAGGTGAAAAACCAAAGCACGAAATAATCAAATTCAAAACTGATGTTGAAACTCGTTTCCAAAGGAAATAGGGAGAATGATGACTTATGGGAGGAAAGGAAAAAAGGCTTTGTGCATAGGTAACAACAACAAAAAAATCAGATGTTTTTATTAATAACTAGGAAACAATAGTGAATGTCATCTTTCCAGTTTTAAACTGTTTTAATAGATATGGACTGGACAAGCAGTGAAAGCAGGTAGTATTGAAGATACACTTTAGGGTATTCAGATTGGGTCCTTGCTGAGACAAAAGAGTGTCCTTTGTAATAACTTTCATTCTTTCAAGTTAGTAAAATATACAAGGAGAATAAGGGGTCTTTGTGAAGATATCATGCATAAGCACTTTTTACCCTGCCTTTTCATTGTTGCTCTGTCATCAGTGAGGTGAGTCTTAATGCACTATGTGTTTAATGGAAAGAACTTTTTCTCTGGACTTGATGTAAAAAAAAAAAGAAAACAACAGCAGATATGTAGCTTAATGGAAGGTGAAAACATGCGTGGGCCTCTCTTATTTATTTTTCACATTTATTTCTCTTAAATTTGTGTTCTGCTCTAGACAATGGTTGATTTCTAGCAGAAGATTTTAAACTTGATCAAACGTTTCAGAAGACAATGGCATTTATTTTCAAACTCAGAAAGAACTACTGTATGTGGAGCAGATTGCATGCTGATGGTGTTACAACTGTCAATGGCTGAAGTCAATAAACAGGTCAGCATTCTTTCAGAACATTCTTGGTACTGTGCAAAAAATCTCAAGTTTCTCAGACAGGGTCTTCTGTGAAGCTATTTTATTAGCAGTTGCGGTGGTGAGTGTCCTCCAAGCAGGAGCTCACCGTAAGTTTTTCATAACCTTATATTCCCTATTACTCGACACACTCGACACCTGATTTCTCCCATTCCCTCATTGGCTGAGTGCTACAGGTTCACACACTGTTCGATGCACTTCTACACCATATATGTACAATTTTATTTGAGCAACTGTTAATTTCTCATTTTCCTTTTTCCTTCTTTTGTGACTAGAGGGCCTGTGATTTCTGTTTTTACAGATTTTGTACTGCTCATTCTGGTTTTCTTAGCTATCTTCATCATTTTGGGACAGTGGGACCTTCCCCTTATCTGCTTAACATACTCCCCACCGCTATGTTACTGTCATGCCTGCACAATCACTTTTGAATATTCAAGATTAGTGGATTTTCCACTGCAAAAACAACTTTCATGCAAAAACACAATTTTTTTTCTCACAGTATTTAGTGCATCTTAAACCGGGTTCACTTACTGGACTTTTCGTTTGGGCACCTATTTGAAACAACCATTTTGGTCAATTCAGTGTTTCATCTGATTGTTTGATGCCATGAGATGCTCTAAAAGTAATGATTAAGCACTTTGTCAAATTAGGGCTTAGAAAAAGAACACCAAGACAGATGAGAGGATAGAAGTGTTTTAAGTGCTGAGTCTTCAGCTTTAAATACTAGTGTATTTTGTTTGCTTGTGCAACTTCAGTTTATTTCTACTGCGGGTTTCTCATTCTCTGCAGAGCAGAGTGAGGTAACTAGCATTTGGGATGTTCTTATCCCATCAAGGCCAATTCATTTGGTCTACTGCTCAGCTCAAGGTTCTCCTTTTATCTTTTTGCTAAGGGCTCTGGAAATGCTTTGGAATGATATGAGAAGAATGAGTGTAAGATGGATTGGGTATAGGCTGCACAAGTTGCTTGCAACATTGCATTCTTGGCTGCTGTTTTTC